CTACGCTTACAACGTGGGCATCTGAGAGAGCTCAAACTCCTTTTGCGAGCTGAAACTAAGTAGATTTTACTGTTATTTACTTTTTTAGATAAGTGAAAACACATAGTGGGCGAAAGGTTTTTAGAAATTAACCACACGTAAATATCCTTAAGTATGTATATTTTGATTCTGAAACGATAAATTAAATGAAGAAAAAGTTTACGTTGTCACAACCAGCAAATAGACAGCTAGATTAAAAAACTTTATTGTATTAAAGATGATATAATGTATAACTATGTATTATATTCTTTTAAATATTTCGCATAAGTAAAAACCTTTATCCATGCGTTTACAAAGTTGTAACTTAGTTTTTATTTACTAAAGGATATTATTTTTGTGTTTATAATTATTTCAGTTACCACGTCTTTATATTAATATAATATATCCATGTATGTAATACATAATATGTTGACTTCTATTTTTATATGAAAAAAATATTACGTGAACATTAGAGTTTTTTTCTAATTTCAACAAAGAGGTTTGAGTACCATGTCTTGAAAATTATAGGGCAAAATACAACTAAAGAATTCCAGAAATTCGTTATTGCCAGCACCCTTGCCATTTCTTCGAAGGCTTAATTGTGTGGGAAAGTCGAGTTTTGAATTTTTGCGTATTAGGCGGAGAATTTTCCCAGGTTTTCTTTATTTGTAACTTTGAGAAATTAATACAATAACCTTCATTATAAGTTTAAAAGGTATTACTTACTCTTCTATTTTTATATAGCTTTCGTAATACGAGACATTCATTGAATATAAACTGTTTTCCAATGCTGCAAGCAACTAGGGCTGACTTACATCTTGTTCATAAAACTATCCCGCGATGGACAGTACATCTAACATTCACGTGAACTACTTGCTTGCAATAAAATCGAACAGTGAAAACAGACACAGAAATGCGTCTGCCCCATTTACACAGCCAATACAAATCTCAAACCTGGTATTCAGTTGTGGAAATCAATGAGCGAGACATGAATTATGGATGTTTGAAAACAAGTCTGCGTTTTGAAATAGCGTCGTATTGTTTTGTGCTTATAACGAATTGCATTGTGTTGCCTGACTTGCTTCATATCATATCCATGGTAAAGCTTAATATGTATTGTGCAAAGATCACCATAACCCCCCTATTATATTTAGTACGAAAATAGAGAAATAAAAATATTATTATTAGGTCTCGCTATGGCATTTGATTTTAATCGATTCGATTGTGATCAATCCATATTCCACGATATCTGATAGGTTTTCTATGCAGTCGTAACAAGGATTTTCAATAAACAATCACAGTATAAGCTAGATTGGACATAGTTAGAAATACATAAATGGAAGTAATCTGTAACCAAACCAAGCTTGCTTTGTCATTGCCAATTTACGAGTATATAAAGATCATCAAAAATAAATCCAAACACTCTGTCACTAGAAAACGGGTGTTAATTATGGATTCGCGTTCTTACGTAGATAGCATAGTAAATAAAGGAATTATTTAAGCACGTCGTCGATTTAATGAATTGAATTATAGATTTGAATTAGAGGGGTTAAGAGCTTAACCCATCATGCGGTTTCAGCGATAATTTTTACGACCACCACCACCAAAATCCTGATGATAATTGGACTTAACATGCTGTCTGATGCAGAGGGGTGATAGGGAGGGGAGGACACAGCAGGCTCGTTGGTATAATGTCAGTAATGTATGGCTAATAATCACAGGTCGTCGCTTCCATCCAAAATTTTCTTATCAGTTTATAATTTTTCTGTATCGTGTTAGGCTTTGCCTGGAACCATCTTATTAAAATGTTATATGGTTGGGGTATTACACCTTCCATCAAGTGAACAACCTTTTTTGTTTGTCCTCTATGATAAAAAACACTTCCTATTCAATCCGGAGTGGAACGCGAAATTTTCTTAGTAACAGCCAAATTTTGAACTCGAAAACAACCTCGATTTTAAAGCACTTATGTTAAAATCTTACATATGGTGGGAAGCTTTCGCAAAATTCACTTTCATATGCAACACGGGGCTTAAACGATGTCCCTAATTGCTTAGTTTGCGTGGAAATCCATCTACCCTACTTCCCTGTACACAAATTTCCACTCTAAAAGCATGGAACTAGACGCAATTTTCAATGAAGTGAAACGGTGATGTGTTTCAAAGGAGAATAGGTTCTATATAGATACATTTTGAATCGATTTTTGCGTGGGCTGGCGTGACCTTGGTAACTAGGGGTGTAACAGGGTGCGACGCTTTACGTAATAGTTATTTGTAAAGAGCGCCCTTAGTGGATCTCGCTAGACCCGGGATTTTGGGAAAAAATTCAATTGTATGCGGATAACGGGTTTTCTCTTTCGTTTTTTCAAGCATAAAGAAGACACCTCTATAAAACAGACACGGTCGATATTATATCTATGTGTTCATAATTGGATAAAATTTCAGCGGATTTGTTGAAAATCCGACAAGACTTAGCTGATTTTAAGACGATTATGAATTTTGTTAATAGGATTTGTGAGAAGGATTTTCAAGAACCATTGTCCAAATTTTCGTTTTCGCATTTCGTCATAATAAGCAACGATAAGGTTTTCATTGCCTCTTGTTACCATGACACAGTTGTTTGTATTAGATTCTGGAAGCAGAAAATATATTTTCATCGAGATAATACTTATAAATAATATCATGTTGTCGCCTGGATATACAAGGCGATAATATTACCCAGAATCATCCAAGGTACAATAGTGTGGTGGCATAAGGCCTCGCTAAAGTCCAATAAAATAGAACTAGACAAAGTGCAGCGGTTGGCCGTATTGATGATCACGGGTGCAAAGACTCCAACAGCGGCGCTTGAGATCATCCTTAGACTAATGCCACTAGATCTAGAAATAAAAAGGAAAGCCACGGAAACGTGGTTCAGGTTAAAAAACGCAGACCTATGAAAAGGAAATATCATGGACATAGGTAAAGTAAATGACAAGAACATGTCAATGACCCTTGCAAACAATGATCTCATACAAAAGGAAAGAATTTTTGACAAGAGATACACAATCCACATTGGGGAAAGGCAGAAGTAGAGAATAGACTCGGAAAATGTGGGCACAGTATGCTACACAGATGGTTCCAGGAAAGAAACGACAAAGCTCTCTGGGTCAGGCATATACATAAAATGCAAGGACGGAACAGAGATAACTAGATCAATCCCACTGGGGAAACTTGTTAGCGTATTCCAAGCGGAGATATTCGCCATCATGCAATGTGCAGAGATTGCCAGGCACTTAAGACACCTGTCAAGTGTTACAATTTACAGTGACAGTCAGGCGGCACTTGAAGTACTATGCAAAGAAGAGACAACATCCGCTATTGTCAAAGAATGCAAGAAAGCACTTGACAAACTAACTGATCAGGTAGAAGTGGCAATTGCCTGGGTCCCCGGACACCAAGGAAATATTGGCAATGAGAGAGCCGGCGAACTCGCTCGCGAAGGAGCCGATAAAAGCTTGATTGGGCCGGAACCGAGACTTCCGATAGCCCATAAAGTAACCAAGGGAATAATCGAGCGCAGAATCATAGAAGAAACAAACCAAAGATGGAAATCTTCGACTGGCATGAGACAGTCGAAAATGTTCATACATAGCCTAGATAAAAAGAAGACCAAAAACCTGATGAAACTAACGAGAGCGAATATCAGACTCATCGTAGAAATCATAACAGGACATTACCGTCTAAACAGACATCTTACAATGACAGGAATAGGTAGCGATCTCCTATGTCCGGAGTGCAGAGAAAGTGAGGAAACAAGCATCCATCTACTCACTGAATGCCCTGCGTACTCGAGGCTAAAACAAATGCATATGGGCTCGGACGAAGTTACAGTAGATGACATTAAATAACTACAGATGGAAAAAATAATAAGATTCTGCAAGCAAACCGGAAGGTTTGAAGGGGACACGGGGAGAGTTGGATGACCCAAAACCTCTGCAAGGAGGAAATGGGGAAATGGGTGAAATGGTCAGCGGATAGCGTGGACTGATCACCCGTCCTGCCAAGGGTGACCCCGATAGAAAATAATAATAAGGATGCTGAACAGAAACAGATCAAATATAGTTACTTTAAATTTTAAATTTTTGTGCTTTAGTACATAATACACAACTTCATATGCTGTTTAACGCAGAAATAAATGCTGTGGCAACGAAGTAGCGGCTATGTTTGTATAATATGTATGTAAAAAAAAAAAAAAAAAAAAAAAAAAAAAAAAAAAAAAAAAAAAAAAAAAAAAAAAAAAAAAAAAAAGAAAAAAAAAAATAAAAAAAAAATTTTAAATATACAAGTGGTTAGTCAACGTATGGACTTTATCAATTAGCAAACATAAGAAACAGTGTTTTCTATATTCCGTTCGGCGAAAATACCTTCGCTAAATCTGTCATCGATCGGCATAATTTTCGCATCTAGCAACACCGTTTGCGTCAAGCTTGTCTGGGGGTCGTCTGCGGCCTGGCCACGACCTATATATGGAGCCCACCCTATGGGGGATGACGTCTGCACCCCACCCCCTCGTCTCGCCCTGTTCTCAATTACGTAATGTTATGAATGTGATGCCTTTTCAGGCAAACGCATAGCACATTGCGTCGGGTGCATTTAGAACGAATGAGACATTCTATAAACAGATTCGGGACACGGTAGCCAATTGGTAGAGCAGTTTAGCCTTGGGTTTGAGTCCCATCTGTGACATATCTCTTTTCATGTAAAACATTTTTAAATTCATATAGGTACATACTCTCTTATTTCATTCATTATAATAATTAAAGTCTGCTTAAACACTCGGTACCTCCTGGAGCCATTGTTATTTAAGACCTTAGATAATTGTACTTTTTCTTTAAGATTTAGCCTATTTCATATACTCCAAATTCGATACGATCGTGGACTCCGTGTACCCCAACATGCACATAACAAACATGAATAATAAAATATAACATGATCATAAAAATGCTTATAAAACAGGTACATACAATTTTAAATACAGGCAACTCAAAAATTTATTCGGTGTTCATTTTTCCTAACACCGAAATGACATTGACATAATCTAAAATTTACTATGTTAACTCTTAGTAATTCTTTTTCACTTTTACTTATTCTTTTGCTAATAGTTGATTGGCAGGCGCATTAAAATGTTCTAGCGCCATCTATTTGCAATTAAATAGAAGTACTCAAAATTAGGAAACTGTTGATTAAAACAGTTGGGATGTGCTCTTAAATGCTAGCAATTGATATTAATATTGCCAGGTCATATAAACACCTTTTCGAGTATAAAATATAATTGAGCAGGTTGAGCGAGTATAATTATATCATCTGTCACCACACATTCACAGTAACATTGTATAAAACAGGATCATACTTCATGTTTAGGCAATACGTAAAAGTGCTTGGGTCACGTATGTTTGAGTTCGTGCTGTATTTAGTCAAAACATTAGACTTTATCATTTAATTGCCGTAATCGTGTCGAAACTCGAGTAGAATAAACAAAACATCTTTGTTTTGTCTCGTTTTTCCTCCTTCCATTGATAAAATGGCACCTTTCTGCAATGTAGTAAATAGCTATAACTTGGCTTGTAGATCTTTATATTATTATTTTACTTCACAGATTTACTCTCACTTGTAGCTCCTTAGTATAACGTTTTGCAGGTTTATCTTTTATAGGATTTATTGTATACATATGAATTTAGACGTTATTATTACTAAAAGAAATACAAACGACGCACATTTTTTGTCTATCCGCGCTGATAAGCTTGACCTCTATTTCTATCGTAACGATAATGTTCAAAAGATGATCTTAAATCCCAATTAGAAGTTAAAACTTACTCCATTGCCGCTATACCTATTATATATATTATATACTCATTTTTATTTCTTAATTCCAGGTTGTGGAAACGATCGTTTGCAAGCCTGAACCACCTGAGTCACCCCCTAAAAAAGTGAGAGGAGAAGATTTCGGCTGTGCCTTGTACTTGGATCCGTACGCTCATCTCCGCTACAGGACAGCTCAGGCTTTCAGACCATGGGGAAAGCGGGAACCAGAGCTTCTACACCCAGAGCGCGTCGTCCGCGTGGCGGATTGCAGGAGATTCGAACAGGACTTCCAGCCGAACGTCGCGCTAAAACCCCTTACTCCGCCTATCGATGACGTAACGTCGTCGACCTCCCCACCCCCTACAGACCCCGAACTAACCGCTCGACTCCTAGACGCTGAAGCACGGCTCAACGAACGCGAGCGGACGTTAGATGAACGGGAAGCGGAGCTCGCGAGGCGCGAGGCTCGCCTCGAAGAGCGAGAGAGGGAGCTAGATCGCCGAGAGCGCCTCCTCCAAGAGCCAAAGCCTGAACCGAACTTGTCGCCGCCCAGAGAAGCGGATCCGCCCTGTTGACCGACGCGGGTGATAACTCGGCTTGTGACTATGTGATGAACGCTTTGCGAAGTCCAGAGTACAAAACGTTGAGGTGCTGAAACGAAAGGCAATGGAACAGTAAATTACGCAAACGTAGAAGCGCTACTTATTATTTGTTGTATGTTAAGCAAGAAAAATGTAATTTGGCCACTGTATTATGACTTTTGGTATTCTGTGCCGAAGTGGCGCGTGTACGCGTGCGTTGAACGATTTTGTTCGTATTGGAGATACTGTTTATATATTTACTGTGCCGAATCCTCAATAAGCGTTATACGTTAAACTGATAATGTTGTTATTTTAGTTTTCGTTCTACATATTTTACGATTTGGGAAATCGGAAAATTAGTGATAAAACGAAAACATTTACGCGTATGCTGATTCAATCGGCAAGTGGTTTCATAAGACATAATATCCGAAAATGTACATAAATTGAGTACACACTTAGTTCCCCATAAGGCCCAACTGTTGTCGTTTACTTCATGTGCCATCCTCCAGGTATTTCATATAACCTCACTGCTTCAGTAACAATACTCACATAATAATAGAATTACATAGTTGTAAAACCATAAGCATAATTTATACAGGGTTATTTTTAGGAACACATTCTGATATACAGACTATATTGCCCCCCTTATTCTGTAAATATACTTACTGCCAATAAAATTATTTTTTCGTACGTAAAATGTATACTTTAAGACTCAAATAACTCTGTATAAAACCTCAGATATACCAAATAATGTATAATTAATTATCATTAATGTACCTCTAAAGGTTGTATTGTTTTTTAACTCGTAATTCATGAAAAATATCTGGTCGTCGCGCGAAAATATTCATCACACATATTAGTCTTATAACCGCGTAATTATTAACGAATATCCCATAAAAAAAACAAACAGAATAACCTATTTGCATTCTATAGCCAACTGCTGTCGTTACTTAAACATAGAACGTTTTGGGTAAATCGTATAGAGGGCGCTTTAATCAAAACTGAGTAAATCCGAAATATACACTTCGTAATCATCTGATTTCAGCTGAACTCATGAATGTAGTCACTTTGGTCCTTAAACCTAGATTAAATGTCAGTCTTGGAGGCAATATACTTGCGGAAAATAAGAAAATTTATAATATTAGGGGTAAACCCGCATTCTACCTCATTGTATATAAAATTATATTTGGCTAAATTAAGAAATTACCATAAGCATTTCCCCTTAGAACTAAATGATTTTATTGTATTTTGGAGCAATAATTTGAAACAAAATCAATTCTCACTGCCTGAATTAATCTAGGTGGTTTTTCGTATAGAATTTATACTTTAGTACTTTGGTAATTTTGGTATATTCTTCGGTTTATAAGTCTCGGTCTCATTATCATCACAGAATTTTCGCATATATGTACATGAACCATTAAGGCGCGTATGGATTGCCAGTAACAGTGCATTTTTGTACATATATTTGTCGACTGGCCTTGACATTTTAAAGGCGACTTACGTTATATTCTATATATCATACTAAGTTTTTTTATTGTGTATTCTGTGAGACTATTGTAGTTCGAAACGTTTTTTTATAAACTAATCAATTTGATTTTATAATTTTACTAGAATTAGAGGTTCTCATACATGCCAAATGAACCTCAAATCTGATTTATAGAACACTTTTATGTTGCGACATTAAGTCCAAGAGCCAATATGAGTAAGAAATTACGGACATTACAGTTCGAAAAGGTTACATTTTTTGCCCATAAGAAAATTCTATGAAATATGACACAGTACGTATTTTAGAAAAAAAAACATGCCAGGCATTTTTTGCCCAAATTGATGTCTTTTTCTGATAATGGCAACCCCAAAACTATGCTGAGCATAGATTTTTATTGTGAAATTTAATTTCACGATCGGATTTTTGAAATTTTAGCAAAGCTCAAATGTGTGTAGTAGTACACCTTGATGTTTTATAACATTATTTAATTCCTTAAAATTTTAGAATTATACAATATGTGCTATGTTATGTTAGTTGGTAAAATTCAGTTCTAGATTAGGAGGTATCTCTAGTCAGAGACGTTTCGAAAAAGAATTATAAATTACCATTTACTTTTTTAGAATATATCTACATAAGTGAATACCACAGGCGAGTGTAATAACTTATTTTAATTAGATTAATTATTAATGTTAAACAAATGTATGTCATTAAGTATAGAGTAGGATTAATTTGAAACTTTTCTGTCAGTACCGATGTTAAACATAATATTTTGGTGCTATCATGTTTTTGGCTTGGCTAACGTAGTGTCTAATTAATTGTAAATATATTATAATTTAGTATTTATTGGCATCTACTTCAGTTCACGTGTTGGAGAAATTTATTTTTTATTATGAATTATTTTTATTTTATATGGCTAAGCCGTATATGGATGTTAATTTTTGAAATTGTTACGAATAATTGAAATCGATTCGCTCATCCACCGACTTTGAATTTCGGTTGGCGAGTTTAAAATAGTGACAGATTTGTACTATATTCAGTTGGTCAATGATTCAAAATAAGTCTGTACTTACATATTCATCAATCTTGGTGTGGTAACCATAATATATTGGAGTTGTGTGAATTTTCCCTGCTTCTCACAATTGTATAAAATTGAAATTGTGTACATATTATAAGTGATAAATTCACCGCTAGATGGCGCTAATCGCTATCTCAATACAAACTTGATTTTGTTTAAGAGTTCAATCAGCTGTTATTATTATTATTATTGCTTTTTTACTTCCATAGTTTTTCGTAATATTGTATCGATGGAAAAGTTTCACGTTTACTCTCACTGTCCGTTTTTATGGTGTAGGGGTAATCATATATCTTGCAATGTACAATATCGATTAGTAACAAATACTTAAACCATCTTTACTATGCGCAATCAATGTTAAGTGTAATAAACTCGATTCATTTTTAAATGTTACTATTATATAACGAAGGATCGAATATCTATCTCTATATATAGATTTTTTGTTGTTGCAAATTTCTGTATGTCATTATAAAGTAACCCGTTCACACTCTGTGGGTTGTATTCAAAATTTTAGGACAGTGAGAGCTTATGTAAATATTATTTTTCGGTACAGTACTAAAACTTGATGTATAGACTGTTGGAGACTTAAGTACTAGTTTGAGCGCAGCTCATTTATTATCTTGTCGACGATTTATTAGTACAGCCAGCAAAAATATTATTTCGGGGCGTTTTGATATAAATGAAAATATAATATAAACACGAATATGTCTCGTTAATTTATTATTTGTTACAAAAGTTTAATTTAAATTACTTTTAAATATTTCAACTTTTGATTTTATTTCATCAAACTTTTTTATTGATCTCTATCGCAGCGACGATAACAAAGTAAAGAGTGACGAAATTTTTAAGTTTCCACTTCCATATACTTTTTCTTGATTATTTATTTTTATTCATATGCATTAGAATTTTTAATAGTTAAATACGTTGCCTAGCATTGCCTAAAGCTCCAGCTTTCGTTTGTTCGAATCCCAGAAAAACTCAGTCGGCTAGAGCCTAAGGTCGACTCATACTAAGGGATAACAGAAATTAATTTTTTGCTGACTGTACATAATCTGCATATAAAACCCTTTCGAAGATGAAGGATAATGAAAGAGCGACGTGGAATTGGTGATTTGCCAGGGTAATTCGTACTCCTGTGATCTCAATGTATGATTGTTAATAAATATCTACATGATGTACTCTTTCGAAATGCTACCACTACAGTCGCAAAATAAAGTATTTAAAAGTTATTCTCTCTTTTATTGACTCTCGAGATAGATTATATTTTATATACGCCTACGTTGTTTTTATTATGAAGGTTAAACAAAGAAAGAAATGTGGATTATATACTTTTTATTTAGAACGCTGTAAACAACATTATAATAGAAGTGTAGTAAAATAAAGTATCTATAGCGTCCAAGATAGGATTTAGACAAAATTATATATCACACTATTGTGCATTGTTTATCTTTTTGTTCAGCCCGGAGATGGTTTTTTTTTCTATTCAGCACAATTTTCAGCAGTTAAATTTAGAACAATAAACTGCTAATTTAAAGTTATAACTACTTTGTTCAGAATATTGGCACATAGTATAGTCGTAAAATATGGTACGCCTGCGGAAATCTTCAATTTCAATATTGCAATGGTAAGCATTCTCTTCATTGTGTTGCAGGCTGTTTTATTACAAATGTGTGCGAAATGAGAATAAATTTGTAAACTTACCTTGGCCTATGCCTTCGTCTACGAGGAAAACTACTTCCAGTAACAAACATTTAATGAATAATTGTCATATTACGGAAAACATTAAAATTATAGTTCTTCTGTTATTTTTACTAATCCAAAAAAGAGTCCATATATTGCCCAAAGCTGATCTAGAGGTAAATGCCTCGAAAATTTTTGTTCTTTCAAGATTGGCGTGTACGTAAACGACACAGAAGATAAGATTAATTAAAAAATATCACTTTTTCTGTCACTTGGTGTTTCAGAGTTTTATGAAATATACCGATGAACTTATTTTGCCTATACGAACTTATATTACCTATATTGCTTTGTTGCTACATAATACAAAATAGTCGCTTTTTCTGTCCTCATGCGCACTTAAATCTAAAACTACGCAACGGATTTTGATGCAGTTTGTTTGGTTCTTTTAATGGTAGCGTTATTCAAGAGGAAGGTTTTTATATACAACGTTCACAGTTTTTCTGTAGTGTATTGAGTATCAGCATTGCACCCAAGCGAAGCTGGGGCGGGTCGTTAGTTAGATATAAAGTTACATTTGGTGTAAGCTATTAAACAAACTATTTCGTTCTTATATCAAGTCATTTATACCTTGCACGTTCTGCACGGCACAACAGTGGTGACCTTACAAATGTAATTTTGGAAATTTAATCCCAAAATGAATATAAGTTCAATAATGAGAGTGATACGGAATTCAAAAAAGGACGTTCAGTAAATTTT